TCAAGGAATCAGAGTTAACATATTGTAAATCAAGGCAAATATTATTTAAACCATGCTCATGGTTTGAAATGGCAAACATTGAAAGGCAAAAGTATTATTAAAACCATGTAGCCTACTACATCATCACCTTGGTCCCATCATATACGCTGGGAAGAGAATATTTACTGTGCTTGAAAACTGGTATCACATCATCATGTGAGGTTGACTTTGTGACTTGGAGAACATTTCAGCTGCAACATCAGCTCGTTGATAATAAGCTTGGGATATGAGATATTTTTGTAGCCATTCGTGGTGAAGGCATCTGTGCTATTGTATGCATTATTTTTGACCCAACATTTCTACAGGCATGTCAGAATATGGTACTATTTTCACATGAATATTCTAGCCATTGTCTATTTTTATACCACAAGCTGCAAAATGACCGCCTTACCACACTGTACAGGCGGGTAGTTGTTTAGATATACCTGGCACCTGCGGGCCGCAGAGGGGTGGCGTAGTTTCGGGCGACGAAGACTGCTGCTCCGGGGCCGGCGAGTCAGGCGGAAGTAAGCTAGTGTCCACAACGGAGGGTAACGTGATGTCCGCATCTGACCTGTTGCTACTGTCTGCAGTAGATGCAGTGTTGCTGGCGTTTAGTGATGGTTGCTTTAACCATTTTCGTATAAATGATTATCCACAGATCAGATGTGTGTCACTGCTGTGGAAGCACTTTGGAAATGATACACGCGCAGCGGAGCAGGTCACGCGCACCTGACACAATTTGTTGTTTGTACAGTATTTTTCGCTACGTTCTCTTTTTTGAAAGGTTGCATAACGTTCAACTTCCCCGAAGATCTCGACGCGAAGCCTGTAGGTTAAACACCAGGTTTACTAATCTACCCGCACAATTTGTCCGGTGTCGGAATGTCTCGCTATGTTAGTACATTCTTAAAAAACAAAACTCCATTTAATTTTGGGTTAAAATGTGTTGTAACTGCGTTACTGAGAATTGTAACGGGTAATATATTACCCACATTTCATTAGTAATGCGTTACATTACTTCGTTACAGCAAAAAGTAATATATTACTGTAACTCCGTTACTTTTGTAACGCGTTACACCCAACACTGACAATATCACAGCCATCACTTTTTTCTGTCTCAATGTCCCTTTTCCATTACTGGTTCTTTCATTTTTCAAAGGTTCATAACCAAGCGACAACGTCCAGTGCTAACAAAATTGAAGTTAACGTAAAAAATAAAAACTGCAGTTTCTTGAATGGCCACTTGAGGCTGGTTAAAAAAAAGTGAGTCAACTCGTAGACCTCCATTTTAAAATATCTACATTTAACACAGAAATAAACATGTTTACTGACTTGTACAATAAAAGGTTTTTGTTCTTTTAGGTAATTTCTCTGTTCATCACAACTGTTCAAGGTGGAGAGTTTGTTATATAACCCACCCATTTGGGTTAAAGTTCTGTATAATTAAGGGTATGGCTGCTTTCACTGACAGATAGTTGCCGTCACAGTACACTAGCCTAGCCTGGTCAACCCCCCCTCACCTCAGCTCCACTGATGACTCAACTCCTTGCTCGTTTTTGCGCAGGGAGCTAGGAGCTTTGACCAATGGCAAGAACCTGAAAAAAGAAATCACCTCAGTGAAATGTATGACTTTTCATAGTTTTGACAATATTCAAATAGTGTTAATTTAAAATAACATTAGATTAAGTATTCTCCCTACTCATTCTAAAGGTATCTGCAGTTCTATCTTTCCAAATCACACTTCTGTAAGTTGCATATCGGTCTTATTTGCTTCTAAACTACGTGTGATCATCTTGAACGTGAACCGGATGACTAATTTAAACTAAGCACAGAAACATTTTTGAGATTAATTTAAAAATAACCTCACAGATTGATCTCAACACATACATCATTCTGCACTGTGAAGCTCAAACAGAAGTGAAACAAAAAGCAAAACACATTTTGGAGTGGAGGGAGAAATTAAATGATAAGGCTGGCATTTGTATGTTGAATGTCCACGCCATTAAAAGACCAAAAAGAAAACAATGTGTTTGTCCATAAAATGCCCAATATTTCCACCCTATCTGTTGCTCATGGCTCCAAGCTCAATGGTTATCAAAGAAGATAACAATCCTAAACTGCTACCCTTTACATTTTTTATGAATTAATTATTTACTAAAACAACCGGGCACTGTTGTTTTTAGAAAACATTAGCTACAGTAACAGGTATAAGTAGGGGATGTGTTGAGGAGTATTTTCAGTGGTAGACGAGTACACAATTGGTTCACTGCTGTCAAAAAAAACAACTCAGTTCCCATGTTCATCACAATGGTCATATAACTTTGTGCATGGCATCATAATCTGATATGGCAATTAATAAGCCTCAATGGTACATTTTACATTTGTAGTTAATTAAACTCTATTTAATATTTACCCTGATTAAATTATGTATTCCTCTCTGTTTGAAAACTCTTGAAAACGTTTGGGTTAGTACACTAGATAAAATAAACTAGTCGTTTAATGCCTAAATGTAGGCATTCCTTGTTTCTTCAAGGAATAATTCTTAGTCCACTGCTGTTGTATTTGTACAGTATATGCTTCCACTTCGCTTCGACATTCAGCATTTCATTTCACTTTTTGAAAAGTTACTGTTTACATGTTTGTTTCTGACAACCACTTAATCCAAGGCATTGCTGATATAAAATGTTGGATGGCCAAACTTATTTTAAAGATAAATTATGAAAAAACAGATTATTAGAGTGGGTGCCAGGGCTTTGATGCAGCAGATTTCCTGTGACTGTAACCTTGAGAGCATGCCAAAAAAAATTGGGTATGAATTTGGATGATGATCTTAAGTTGAAGACATTCATCTCATATTTGGGAAACTGACTTTTACCATCTAAGAAATATGCCTAAAGTTAGATGTTTCCTGTTGCAATCTGCTTCTGCACCGGTCTTCATGCTTATACTTCCGACACGGCTATAAATAACATCTATTTTCTTTAGAATGCTGCAGCATTAGTATTACCTAAAAAAAGACGGTTTGAACACATCACTCACTTTTAACTTCTCCTTCCAGTATAATAATTAAAATATTTGAATATACTTTTTCTGTCTTTAAATTGATAATGTCATTCATATGTCATTGACCTGCTGACTGATTACACACTGCACCTGTCTCTTATATCTTAAAGTCAAGAGGGGCTTTCACAGCGGAGTACTTTTCCCCGTACTTTTCCCGTTTGGTTCCGATAGTTCCTGGAATTTTGCGTTCACACCAAAAAGAGTAGCCTACTTATTTAAGAGAACTGTTACCCTCATTTTTAGTGCCTGATAGAGAGGTGGTACTATCCTGGGGAGAAAAAAGTTCCAATTTCTGATTGGCTGGGCAAATTGCAAACCACGCCCCGTAAAACTCTGAAAAGTGTTTGTGAAGCCGCCATTTTATTTCCTCGCATCAGCATTATTAGCATTAGAATCAGCCCAGCGCACCAACGGAGAGAGACTAACTTATGGCAACACAACAAATAACATGGGAGCGGTGGAGTGATGAGGAGGTGTCGGCGTTCTGGCGATTTACTCGGAAGGCTTCAGTAGAAGCTGCTCCCAAAAAAATTATGTTTTTTTGTTCTGAGAAAAAAGTCAGAATTCTGAGATTAAAGTCAGAATTCTGATTTTACTCAAATCCTCCCAAAAAAAAAATGATGTGGCCCTAATCCTCTTCCGTACTTAAGGAAAAAAGTTAACCAATAATATTTTTGGTAACACTTTATATTAAGGTACACAAATTAACCATCAACTATTTGATAATGAACATGCATATTAGCAGTATTGTGGTGACACGTTATTGGACATAATTCACCTCTCGTATTGTGTTGCCACAAGGACCCTTGAGTGGGAGCACCTGTAGCTTCAGCGGCCATTCCTGCTAGCTCGTCAAGCAGAGCAGTCATGTGTTAATCTCTCTGTTATTAATGGCTAATAAAGATTGGAACTCCATTCTGAATACACCGCCTCCGACTCCCTTTTCACGGCACTACACTGGTGACCCTGACATTTCCGAGAAAGTTTCCGGGAAATTAACGAGCATGGCTGAACGCGATGTGTTCGTAAAGCTGCCGGAATTCTGGGAATTCGTGTTCGCACACGTGGAGGCGCACTTCGCCTGCCGACAGGTCCGTGACGGGGACCTGAGATACTACCATGTGGTGGCAGCGCTGGGAAGCTCCGCGTCGTCCAGGTTGGTGGGATTTATTTATTTATTTCGTGATAGCGGACATTTATTTTCCCGTCCTCGGAGCGGATTTTTTGTGTGCTCATGGACTCTTGGTGGACTTTAAGAATAGGCGTTTGGTTGATGCCTTAACGTTTTCTTCCCTCGTGTGCACACTTGGCAGCGCATTGTACGACGGGCTGTCGGGCTCGCTGTCGGGACACGTTTCTCAGACTGTTGGCCGAGTTTCCGGACCTGTCGCTACCCACCTTCTCTGCGCTTACCACTAAGCATGGCGTGGATCACCAGGTCACTACCGGGGGGCCTCCTGTCTACGCCAGGGCCCGGCGGTTGAACCCTTCTAAGCTGGCGGTAGCGAGGGCGGAGTTCGCAACCATGGAGCGCCTGGGCATTGTCCGCCGCTCCGACAGTCCTTGGGCTTCCCCCCTGAACACGTCGTCCCCAAGCCGAACGGCGGGTTCCGCCCGTGCGGGGATTACCGCCGACTCAACAACGCCACTATGCCTGACCGCTATCCGGTGCCGCACTTTCAGGACTTTTCGGCGCATCTGGCCGGTACGGTGGTGTTTTCCAAGGTGGACCTGGTGCATGGATACCACCAGGTGCCCATGCACCCCCTGGACATTCCCAAGACAGCAGTGATAACGCCTTTTGGACTTTTTGAGTTCCTACGGATGCCTTTTGGACTCAAGAATGCCGCTCAGACGTTCCAGCGCCAGATGGATTCGGTGCTGCGGGACCTGCCGTTTGTGTTTGTCCAGCGCTTCAGCGACATACTCGTCACCAGCGTTTCAGTGCAGGAGCACCTGTTCCACCTCCGAGCCCTTTTCACGCGGCTCAACGAACATGGATTGATCATCAATCCTGCAAAGTGCCAGTTCGGGGTGTCTGACATCGATTTCCTGGGGCACCGCGTCACCAAGGGCGGTGCGACTCCTCTGCCAGCGAAGGTGGAGGCTGTTGCGGCTTTTCCTCGCCCGCTCACAGCACGGTTGCTCCGTGAGTTTCTGGGGATGGTGACCTTCTACCACCGTTCCATCGCCCGGGCCGCGCACATCATGCGGCCGCTGTATGAAGCGTTGAAAGGCAAGACCCCCGTCCAGGCAATCGACTGGACAGCAGAGGCGGACGTCGCTTTTGCTGAGGTCAAGACTGCGTTGGCTCNATTAAAACAAGATTATTGTTTATCCCTTATCTCTCTGTGTCTCTGTTGTATATTTCCTTCTTTTTAAAACAAACTCAAGAGGAACCGCGCGGGAGCAGAGCGTCCTGGCCCCAACATTTACATTACTATGTTTTAGCTTAAGCTTAACTGTAAGTATGCTTCGTTGCTACATTTCAAACCCCACTGTAATATCTGTTAAAAATATCCACATTACAAAAAATTTTCATCATCATCAGTGGGTCAATTCTTTGCGTTATTCCCATCTGGACCTTACATCTCTCGACAGTAGCCCCCTTGCCCACGCATCTGTGACCGTTATAATTCAAATCAATATTAGAAACATGTGCAACCATTCATTAAAATACAGTGATCCTAAAGACATGGGAGCAGGTTCATTTCGTAAATACTGTCAATCAATGCGTCAGAGTTGAACATGCCGAGTTGGGGGCGGCCAGGTTTCTTTCAGTCCCTTAAATGAAAATGTAGATGTGAATTTGATCAGCCATGTTGGATTACAATACATTATATCACACACTCCCCCTACACAATGAACTCATGTGTAACAATACCTGTATGGGAAGAAAACCTTGTCCCACTGAGTTCAAAGCCATTCAATACGCGCTATGCTATGTATTGGAATGTGTGGTGTGTTTTGGATATACCAGGGCCGCCGTTACCGACAGGCCCAAGGTTGTTGCTCGACCATTTGAAGGCCAATAACAGCGTAAGATTAATCTAACTTCCAACTTTTATTATTGTATATTAGCCACTTTTAAAACCTCCAGCACCCAACAGCTGCCTGTACAGGAGATACATAAAATATAAACCACACAGGCTCAGCTCAACAAACATTCAATAAATAAATAATTTAAAATAAAAGATACAACACCCACCAAAACAAACCAGAATAAACGTAACAATTTCAAAACTGCTAATCTTTCTTTTTAAAAAAAAAGGACATAAAAAAGATTAAGAAGCCGTCCACAGGCAACAACAACATGGAGCGCCCTATTACATTCTACCGAAACGGATATGTTCGGCGCAAAACCCCCTCAAGCGTGCGGCCCCAGGCATTGCCCCCGCCGCCCGACAAAACTGCCCTTCTTAATTTCAGTTGTGGGGGAGAGCAGTTCCGAGAGGGTGGTGGGATGCCTACACTGAAAGGCTCCTTGGTCACCGGAAAGTCGGCAACCTGGTGCGGGCGTAGAGAGGAGAATCCTGTCCAGACGATCGGAAGCCTTTCCGGGATGGAGTGGTGGTGGCGGAGAAGGTCAGACAGGTATTGGCGGAGGCATGGAGGGATTTATAGGTTCAGAAGGAAGAGTTTATTATGTGATACGGTGCTTGACTGGGGGAGCCAGTTGAGGTGGATGAGGTGGGGTGATGGTTGCTTGCCAGGTCTTGGTGGTGAGTGGCTTGGTGTGAGCGTGAGCCACGTGGAAATTGAGACCGAAGTGCGTATGATTCTGGCCAAGGGTGGTTCTTTTTTTTTGAAGATTGTAAATGCACCCTGGGCAGCCGAGTTTCTGCACATACTAGGAGCCGATGTCCAGCGGCTTTACTGGCGAACCCCAGAACAGGAGCTCCGTTTGGCCAGTAGTCCAACGGAGGAGGGATGGAATTGCCATGGATGAGGGCGTCGCTCGGCCACTGGGCATATCGGAGAGTGATTGGTCGTAGACGGAGATGCTTCCTGAGGTGATAGAGGCAGACTTGGGGCTGCATCGGATTTGATATGTGACTGAAATGAAGAGATTTTTGAGTCAAGGGTGACACCCAGGCTTACGGACTTCGGGAGACGGTGAGATGGAACAGCCGTCAATGTGGAGGAGGAGATCCCCAACCTTCCGGAGCAGTGCCTTGGGGGCCACAACCATGAGCTCAGTCTTCTTACTGTTGAGTTTGAGTAGCTGTCATCCAGGTTTTTATGGCATGGAGACAATTGACCAGAGACTGTGGAGGGAGCTGGGCAGATGGTGAGGTGCTGAGATAGAGCTGAGTGTCATCAGCGTAGCAGTGGAAATTGAGACCGAAGTGATGTATGATCTGGCCAAGGGGGAGCATGTAAATGGTGAAAAGTAGGGGACCAAGCACGGAGCCTTGGGGGATACCATGGTTGACTGGGGCCGGGGGGGAGTGAGCCGCTGATGCTGACAAACTGAGACCTGGTTGAGAGATAGGACTGAAACCATGACAGAGCTGTGCCAGTGATGCCAAGGTTGTCGGAGAGGCATTTCAGGAGGACTGTATGAGAAACGGTGTCAAAGGCCGCAGAGAGGTCGAGGAGGATGAGAATACTGATTTGTCCGGAGTCAGCAGCGAGAAGGAGGTCATTAGTGATCTTGAGGAGGGCGGTCTCTGTGCTGTGATGTGCTCTGTAGGGTGACTGTAGGGGTTCGTAGAGCTCATGGTTGGACAGATGTTGATGAAGCTGGGCGGCGACTGCTCTTTCCAAGGTTTTACTAAGGAAATGAAGGTTGGAGATCGGTCGGTAGTTGTTCAGCTCCTCAGGGTCAAGACCAGGGTTCTTGAGGATGGGAGTGATGGAGGCGGTTTTGAAGCAGGAGGGAACTATTCCAGATGACAGAGAGGAGTTGATGATGTCTGTTATGTGGCAGAGAGTGGGAAGGCAGGCCTTGAACCAGCACCGTGGGCATGGTCAAGTCGGAAGAGCGGGTGGGATGGCGCTTCAGCATTGCGTCACCAGCTTCGAGACCAGTGGAACATCACCTGGGAGAAGGGAGGGAGAGGGAGAGCATGGCGGATTGCAGGCGGTTTGCAGCTGGGAAGTGTCCATTTCTGTGTCAGGGGGCCAGCTGCAGATAGGGGGGAGGGGCCGGGCACCAGGAGTTGCTTGGAATGAATGGAGATCATCCTTAGCCTTGAAAAAAGGCTGAGGAATTGGAGCAGAGATCAGGAGCTTCAGCACGTGTACGGGGTGACAGGGGAGGGGGGCGGAGCAGTCGGTGATGCGTGGAGAACAAGGATCTGGGTGATTTTGTTGTAAGGTGATGGGAGGGAGGAGTAGTAGGCGCCGTCTTGGTCTTTGGGAGAGGAGCCTCCTGTTGGACCTCACATGGTCCACCAAAGCGCCATACGATGGACGTTGAGCCAGTTCGTCTGGCGAAAGGCCGCTCCAGCCGGGACGACCAGTTTGCTTCATTGTGGCCGAAAGATCAGCAGGTGCAACCATGCGTGCCGGGGCGGAGAAAAGACACCGTCCGGCTTCTGAGGGAGCCAGAGAGTCCAGGCTCGGAGGAGAGAGGGCCAGCTGTTGGTAGCGGGCCACCAACACGTCCGGCCGAAGCTGTCGGGAGGAGAGCCGCGGGCATGTGGCTTATGCAGGAGGTCTGAGTAGGGGCTGATGCACTCACTGATTTTGGATGTCTCTGAAGGTGATGTGCGCCTGGCGGCGCTGCTGCGGCAGTCGGGGGTATGGAAAATGGCTGAAGATGACGGCATGGTGGTCTGCATTACTGCCAGCGTCTAGCAGCGGCCTGCAGGTGCAGAAGGGGGGGGGCACCAGCTGGAGCAGACTAGATCCAGCGTGTGCA